GGTCTCCCCCGCGCTCCCACGCTCGGCTCTGCCGCGACTTGCCGGGACGCCGCTGCCGCCGGGACGTGTCCTGGCAGCTCACCTTCCTCCAGGATGAGGAGGAGTCCTGGGAGATCCCTGAGAGCCGAGAGCTGAGCTGGGCTTTCCCCCTCCGACAGCTCCTCCGGATCCCATCGCAGAGGAGAGACCCCCCCGGTGCCACCGAGGACCCCCCGGACGCCGCGAGGAGCAGGATGGGCCAGTGCAACTGCCGCAAGAAGCGCAAGGTCCTCGAGCGACGCCGGGACCCCCGGCGGGGTGTGGGGTGACCCCACATGTCCCCACCCCGAGGGCACAGCCCTGACTCTGCCCCATCCCGGAGCCAGAGTGTGGTGGAGGAGCTGGGGGCTGTTTTGGGGTTTGGACTCGCTGTCCCAGGCAGGGGGACCTGATGCTGCGGGTTTGGAGCCGCTCGGGAGCTCAGGGAAGCAGGCAGCCTTTTCCAGCTGCTGGGGATCCACCTTTGGGAACCTCTGCAAGGATGGAGAGGAGCAGGAAGGCTCCTGTTTTCCTCAGCTTTTAACCAGGAGGTGTCCATCCTGCACCCCTTTGCACCTGTGGAGGATTTAGGGCGCCGGGATGAGGCTCTGGAGGTTGCCAGGTCCTTCCTAATGGGCATCGACCGATGTGGTTTTGAGGGAAAACCACAGATTTGAGTGAATCAGCATCGGCTCCCTCCGAACGCAGTGGCTGGAGAGCTGGGCATGGAGGTTGTGCCAGTCTGTGCCCCCCACCCCGCTGGGAACGGGGTCTGCTGGGGTGGGACAGGGGCTCTGGGAGCTGCCAAACCCCATCCCAGGCGTCGTCCCGGGCACTGACTCATCGTGCCATTGCCACTTGTGCTGAGGAGAGGAAGAACCAGTCAGGACGGTGCGGCCCCCGCGCCGGGGGTGTAGCTGAGACGCCAGGGTGGCTGAGCCTCGGGGGGCCCGGGCAAGGAGGGGGCTAGGAAAGGAGATTTGGGGGGTGACAGGCCCGCAGGGAGGGGTGGTATGTCAAGGTGGCAGCTGGAGGGGGTCTTGCAGCCGGGCAGGGCCGGTGTGGGGTGGTGGAACATCTGTGTGGAGGGGTGGAACATGTCTGTGGAGAGGTGGAATATCTGTATGGAGAGGTGGAATATCTGTCTGGAGTGGTCTTGTGCCTGTATGGGGGTCTCAGGTGTGGACAGTGGGCCCTGACATCTCTAGAGGGGGTCTCACACCTGTATGAGGGGTCTCACATCTGGACAGTGAGGTCTCACATCTGTATGGGGGGGTCTTACACCCGTGCAGAGAGGTCTGGTGTTGATAAGGAGCTTTATCCCATCACTGGGGACTCCTCAGGGAGTGTCCCACATACTAAGGGCTTGTCCTGTGCACCCTGGGGTGTCCCATCCCTCTGGGGAGGGGTCCCATCCCTCCAGGTCACTGTGCCCCCAGTGCTCACCCCTTGTGCCCCCCCAGGACTGCCAGGAGCTCACGGACGTGGAACGGGCCATCGAGACCGTCATCAGCCAGTTCCACTGCTATGCAGTGAAGGGGCAGAAGGAGTACCTGACCCCCAACGAGATGCAGGACCTGGTGGTGCAGAAGCTGCCCCACCTGGGCAAGGTGAGGGCAGAGCCCTGGGCTGGGCAGGAGGGGCTGGGGGGGACACAGGACCTCACAGCCCCCTCACCCCGATGTTTTCTCTGCCCCCCCTGCAGTGTGTGGGACCACTGGAAGAGAAGATCGAGTGCATGGGAGACCCCAACGAGGCCAAGCTGGAGTTTGGAGAGTACTGGGACATGATGGGGGATGCAGCCAAGGGCTGCAGGAGGAAGTAGGAGCTGGTGGGGGAAGGTGCCCGAGGCCTCAGGCTCTGCACCGAGGAGCACGAAGGGCAGCGGGGCCCGGTGGGATGAGCCTGGGAAAAAACAACGTTGTTCCTGCCAGGGCTCGTCCCCTCCCGCTGGGGTGGAGGGATCCCCCTCCTCAGCTGCATCCCTGCCCTCTCCTGGCTCTCCTTCCTGTCAGGAAACCCCCTTCCCATCCCCAGCTCCGTGCCATGGTGGGAGGGAGGTGGCAATGGGGGTTCCTGACCTGGCTCCGGAGCCTTCCTCCGTCCTTTTGCTCCAGCGCTTTCATCCCTGGGGTTGTCCTACCTCCGGCCCTGGAAACTCTCCAGTTGCAGGACCCCCAGCCCTGGAGGAGCATCACAGAGAGAGGGACTCGGCTCCTTTCCCCCCCAAACCCCCTTGGAAGTGTTGGCTCATCCCCCCAGCCCCGTGCCCTGGCACCCGAGGGCACCTCCGGGGGCATCCCGGGCTCTGCTGTGGCCGTGGGTGGGTGCACGTGGCCGGGGTGTATTCCCTGCTGTCCCCCCAGTGCAGGGACCAGGGTTCTGGGGGCTATCCCGGGATGTGCCACCCTCCTGGTGCTCCCCATCTCCAGGGATTGTGGCCTCCGGGCTCGGGGCTGGGGCAGGGGCGGGTTGGTCTCAGCTTGTGCCACTTGCAACCATTTTTGTATAAATTAATAAAGGAAAACACTGGAAAAAAAAAAAAGCCAAACAACCAGGATGGAGTGACCTTGTTTGTTCCTGGTGGGAGAGGGAAAGCGGGGGGAAAAGGGGAGAGAGGGGGCTGCAGGGTCGTGGTGCTGAGGGTCATTCTGGATTGGGCAGAGCACGGGGGTGCAAAGGGGGCTGTGGGTGTGCAAGGGACCCCAGAGGTGTGCAAGGATTGCTGTGGGTGTGTGGGACCCCACGGGTGTGTGGGGACATGGGTGAGTGTGTGACCTTGTGGGTGTGTCAGGACACTGCAGGGGTGCACAGGGCTTCCACATTCCCAGTTCCTGGGGTGGTGGTCCCAGCTGTGGGGTCATGCTCTGGACAGGCACCCCAAGCAAGGGCTTTGAGAATGTGATTCCGTGCTGGGATGGAGGGAGCTCGGAGGAGATCCCAAAATGCCAGGCTTGGAAAGAGTTGAGAGCTGTGAGCCAGCAAGATCCCACCTGTGCTGGGAGAACATGGGATTTGGGGCTAATTACAGCAAATTGGGAAAGAGTAAATGGCACAAAGCTGTAGCTCCCTGGGATGGGGTAATTAGTGAATGGGGAGTGAAGAAATGGGCTGGAGAACCCGGTTATCCCACCTTCCCTCCGACACCGGGCCATTTCCACTGAGCTTCACGTCCTGAAGGCGCAGTGGGGACCCCTAAAAGGGGTGTCCCAAAGAGGGACAGGCTGTGGGCACCTCAGCAGCACTTTGGGAGGGAAGAAACCAGAGGTGAGCAAACCAAAACTGATCCAAACCCCAGCGAAAGGCGATAAAAGGCGGCGCTGGGCAGGTCCTGCCGGGCCGGCGGCGACTCCGGCACCGCGGCTCGGCCACAGGGCCACCCTCTGTCTCCTCTCGGCCTGGGGTGGATTTCACAACGGGAATGACTATTTATTGTTCCTGCCTTGGAAATAAATGCATGGAAATTAAGCAGAAAGGTGTGGCGTGCATTTAATTAGAGACAGGAAATGTGTCAAATGGTCGGGGTGGTGTGGGGGGGAAAGGGGAGCCGGGGCTCCTGGATCCTCTTCCCAGCACCTGTCTGGGAATGTGCCGTGGGAGTGGGGACTTCTGGGTCGCTGAGTTTGTCCCTGGTGTGACGGTGTGCTGTCAGAAGGACAATTCCTGTGCCGTGAGCCATCCCTGATGAGTATCTGGAAAGTTCTTGGAGCTGGTGGGAGCAGCTCAGTCCACGCCGGGGCAGTCGGTGCCCCTCGGTGAGGACACAGCACTGGGCAACTCGCCAAAGACCCCCAAATCCAGGGCTCTGCAAAGGCTCCCTTGGTGCAGAGCTTGTCCAGGAGACACCAAATACCTCCTGGCCCTTCAGGCCTGGAGTTGGTGGGGACCAGGGGGGACTCCGACCTCACCAATTGGTGGGAAGTGTTTTGTGATGGGCCAGGATGGTACGTGGCTGCTCCGAGCACACGCACACGCCCTGGATGCCTTGTAAAAATAAGGGCCTGGATGTGGTTGTGACATCTGCCAGCAGAGGAGAGTAATGAAAGCCCATGATTCAGGGGTGAGCTGTTTGCCTGCAGGGTCCAGGAGGGATTCCCACCCTCCCGGGATGTTGCATCAACGAACGACACCGGAGCATCTCGGCCCAGAACAGGTTTTTGCTTCCTCCCAACCGAGATTAGGAAGGAGCCACGGGGAGAGCTGGGATGACACGTTTTTTCCGGGATGGGAGTTCCAGAGGTCCTGGGAGCAGGTGGCTCCTGCCTGTAACAAATCACCTCCTGCTTTGCATCTCGAAATCTGCCCTTCCCGATAACGCCCGTATCTGATCTCGGCATCGAATCTGGGAGACACCAGAGGTGCAATTTGCTGGCACAATTAATTATGGATGGGACCTTACAAGCCCAGCTCCCAGCTGGGAAGAGCCTTGTCTATCCCAGTGCATCCAGACATGGCCAAGAGCTGGGCATGGCCCTGCCCGGAGCTGGTGCTTGTGCTCCCAGGGTCCCTAGACCCATGTCAGCCCCTTTCACCCATGAGAACAAGTGGTTTTGGTTCAAAAAATGATGTTCCCTGCCTTGCCAGGCAGATTCAGAGATGGTTTGGAGCTGGGGGGATGGTGGAATGAGCTATGAGATGGAGGAGCCAGGCTTTTGGTTGATGCACGGCTGGATGGGTTTGCAAACCCTGGGATCAGGCTGGAATTCTGTGCCTGGTCAACCACCACGCCATCCATCCAGCGGGGTCTTTTGGGGTGGTCCCCAAACACCTCCCTAGCCACGAACACACAGAGCAGCCCCTGGGAAGGAGCTGGAGCCTCCGCGGGTCCCAGCTCGCACCAACCCGTCCCGGTGTTGCAATCCCAGAGAGCCCTTTCCCAGGTGAGCCCAGGCCTGGGAACGCCCTGGGAACGTCAGGGAGGGGTGGGAGCCTCTTTAAAAACCTGGCTGGGCCTGCGGGATGGGTGCAAGGTGAGCAGAGAACGGGCGACATCAGCTCCCAGCTGCCAAACCGGCGTCAGGTGGACACAGCAGGACCCTCAGAATGAGCCAGGTGAGGCTCCAGCGGGAATTCCAGTTCCCCCGGGATGGGGAAGCCCCTTTTGGGGTGAATATTTAACCAGGAGCAGGCCTGGGATGTGCTGCTGCATGTTGGGTGCTGGAAATCCCCCGAGTCCTTCGGCAGCTCCGCGTGTGGGGGCCGGGGTTGGAGGGGACTGGGGGATTTTGGGGATCACAGGGGGGATCCGGGATGGGAGGAGGGTGCTCTGCGTCCGTCGGCCTCCATTGTCTCTGGAGAGCCTGACCTGGGGCTGCCAGTGGGGTCTGGCTTCTGGAAAAGGGGGATTTTCCTGTTGTGGTGCTGGGCAGGGGGACAGGGAGTGCTGGGGTTGTGTCCAGCTGCAGGTCCTGGCTCCGGGCAGATGTGACTGCGTGAGGAGGGAGAGGGAGAGAAGGAGAGGGAAAGAAGGAGAGGGAAGGGAGAAGGAGAGGGGAAAGGAGAGGGAGAAGTGACGGGACCGTGGTGGTGGGAGTGGAGCAGCTGGCGAGTCCCATCCTGCTCACGTGGTGCCCAGCTGTGCCAGTGTCCCCGTGTCCCACCCCAGGGACAGTGTTCCCATGTCCCACTGTGGTGACAGTGTCTCCATGTCCCACTGCAGCGTCAGAGTCCCTTCCCGGTCCCCGTATCCCACCCCAGTGATGTCCCAGTGCCCCACTGTGGTGCCAGTGTGCCTGGGTCCCACCCTGCTGCCAGTGTCCCCCTGTCCCGCTGTGGTGCCAGTGTCCTTGTGTCCCACCCCACTGCCAGTGTCCCCATGTCCCACCCCACTGCCAGTGCCCCTGTGTCCCACCATGGTACCAGTGTCCCTGTGTCCCCCTGCTGGCCCCAGGGCTCTCCATGGTTGCCGGGCCGGTGCCATGAGTCAGCGGCGGAGCAGCTGCCACGATGCCCCGAGGACAGGCTGGGTGCTGGTGGCAGGGGACTGGTGACACCAAACTGGGGTCCCCGGTGGGTGCAGGGGTGGCAGTGCTGGGGGTGCTCATGCCCTGGTGCTGCTGGATCCCCTCTGTTGGTGATGAACGACCCGGGAGGAGCCGGAATCTCTGGTGAGAGGCTCTCGTGGCCCTGCCAGTGCTGGGACAGCTCCAAGGCCAGAGTGCCGAGAGCTGGGGATGGTCCCCGGTCCTGGAATGACAGAGTGACCCTGGACCGTGGCAGTGTGGCACAGCAGGGGCTCCCACAGGGACAGGGATGGCCTGGAAGGACACCTGGGGACAAGGACAAGCCTGGGGCTGAGCCTCATGTCTCGTGTCACCACCCTGACGTGCCACCGTCCTCGGCCTGGGGCTGAACTGGGGAGGATCAGGGCAAAGGGAGGGGACAGGAGCCAAGGCTGGGGCATGGGGCAGGTCCTCCCTGTTCCCTGGGCTGCAAAAACCCTCTGGAGGTGTCCCCTGAGAGGGGGACAGTGCTGGGCCACCCCTTGGGGCTCCACACAGCCCACCCCGTTGGCTTCCTCCAACACCCATGTGGCCACCAGTGCCACGATGGTCAGTGCTGGAACCCAGGGCTGGTGTAAATCCACCTGGAACAACAGGGAGCAACACACTCCAAGTCCTGGCCACTGACCAGGCAGGAAAGAGCCCCGAGCAGACAAGGTGACGCAGTTCCCGTCCCTGCCTTCCTGGGATGTGGCCGCTGGACCCCGTGACAGGGACCATCCTGTCGGGCCCATCCTGTCGGAGCTTCCTGGCTTGGGGCAGCCTCGGGACGGAGGAGAGAGGACGGAGACCCCGGGCAGGGATCAGGCAGGATTGGACCCCCGGGATTTGGGGGGCAGCCTGGGCTGTGCTTGTGGGGGACTCGGGCAGGCCCGGCCCTGCCCTGCCGGGCTGTTCCCGGAGCCGTGAAGCAAGAGGAGGGTTGGCTGGTAATTCCTGCCCCTGTCCCGCCACAGCTCCCGGCCCC